GGAGAATAGTGCCCCATCATTGGGGTCAGGGGGGGGGGAAATAGTGTCCCCATTGTTGGTGTCAGTGGGGGGGGAAATAGTGTCCCATCGTTGGTGTCAGTGGGGGGGGAAATAGTGTCCCATCGTTGGTGTCAGTGGGGGGAGGAATAGTGCCCCATCGTTGGTGTCAGTGGAAGGAGTAGTGCCCCATCACTGATGTCAGTGGGGGGAATAGTGCCCCATCGTTGGTATCAGTGGGAGGAATAGTGCCCCATCACTGGTGTCAGTGGGAGGAATAGTGCCCCATCATTGATGTCAGTGTGGTGGAGGGGAGAATAGTGCCCCATCATTGGGGTCAGGGGGGGGGGGGGGGAATAGTGTCCCATCGTTGGTGTCAGTGGGGGGAGTAGTGCCCCATCACTGGTGTCGGTGGGGGGGGAGTAGTGCCCCATCATTGGTGTCGGTGGGAGGAGTAGTGCCCCATCATTGGTGTCAGTGGGGGGGAGTAGTGCCCCATCATTGGTGTCAGTGGGGGGGGAGTAGTGCCCCATCATTGGTGTCAGTGGGAGGAATAGTGCCCCATCACTGGTGTCAGTGGGGGGGGAGTAGTGCCCCATCACTGGTGTCAGTGGGGGGAGTAGTGCCCCATCACTGGTGTCAGTGGGAGGAATAGTGCCCCATCACTGGTGTCAGTGGGAGGAATAGTGCCACATCACTGGTGTCAGTGGGAGGAATAGTGCCACATCATTGGTGTCAGTGGGAGGAATAGTGCCCCATCATTGGTGTCAGTGGGAGGAATAGTGTCCCATCATTGGTGTCAGTGGGAGGAATAGTGCCCCATCATTGATGTCAGTGTGGGTGGAGAATAGTGCCCCATCATTGGGGTCAGGGGGGGGGGGGAAATAGTGTCCCATCGTTGGTGTCGGTGGGGGGAGGAATAGTGCCCCATCATTGGTGTCAGTGGGAGGAATAGTGCCCCATCATTGATGTCAGTGTGGTGGAGGGGAGAATAGTGCCCCATCATTGGGGTCAGGGGGGGGGGAAATAGTGTCCCATCGTTGGTGTCAGTGGGGGGAGGAATAGTGCCCCATCATTGGTGTCAGTGGGAGGAATAGTGCCCCATCATTGATGTCAGTGTGGTGGAGGGGAGAATAGTGCCCCATCATTGGGGTCAGGGGGGGGGGAAATAGTGTCCCATTGTTGGTGTCAGTGGGGGGGGAAATAGTGTCCCATCGTTGGTGTCAGTGGGGGGGGAAATAGTGTCCCATCGTTGGTGTCAGTGGGGGGAGGAATAGTGCCCCATCGTTGGTGTCAGTGGGGGGAGGAATAGTGCCCCATCGTTGGTGTCAGTGGGGGGAGGAATAGTGCCCCATCGTTGGTGTCAGTGGGGGGAGGAATAGTGCCCCATCGTTGGTATTAGTGACAGCCTGGGCTCGCTCTCTCACTTACCTGTCAGCTGTCTTCCTTCTCTGGCCGCTCTCCTCTTCACTCGCTCCGGCAGCTCCCTCGATCTTCTTTGATGTACGCGCGCTGCCGCTCGGCTCCTCCTCTCCAACCTCCACCTCCTCTCCGGTGATTGGCCGCCTGTGTGCCTCTCCTGAGCTACAGTTCCGGTGGCCAATCAGCGGCGAGGAGGCGGAGCTGCTGAGCGATCCCGGAGGTGTGGCCAGGTGACAGGAGCAGCGTATCATCCCACCCACACATCGCCGGAGAGAGGAGCGGTGTCTCGGTTCCTAAGACCATCGGAAATATGTGTTTTCCGATGGTCTTAGGCGACCCCTGGGAAATGGTCGTTCGACCCCCAAAGGGGTCGCGACCCCCAGGTTGAGAACCGCTGGTCTAGAAGAAAATGATAAAAGTTTTACTTAGGTAATGTTGCATGACTGAGTATTTGTCATTCAAATTGTGACAGCACTACATCTGAAAACTGGCCTGGGCAGGAAGGGGGGTAAAAGTGTCCGGTATTGAGGTGGTTAAACATATGTTTCTCATTCACCCCATACAAAGAATATTTTTTTATGTTCTGATTTAATTTTTCTCTAGTGCCAAAGACTGAAATGATGGATAATCGTTTGGGTAATCTGGCAGAAGAGTTTAAGGATCTGGTGTATCCACCTGGTTATAACCCTGAAGGCAAATCTGTGAAAAGAAAACAAGGTAAGAAATGGTTTATCATTGGAGTATGTGAAATATGCTAAAGCCAAAAAGAGTTTTGATTGCTTTTTATATGCATTATCCCCATCCTTCCTTTCACTGGCTTTGTGCTACTTAATTTATGTATTTTAGCTCTCTAAACAGTCCCAGTTAGTTTGTATACTTAACCACTTGCCCTCTAAAGGATTCACTCCCCTTAACCCCCCTAGCGTTATGATTATGTCCATATTTCTGTGCTGAAAGCGGTACATTTTTTTGCATGGAAATATGTAGTTTTTTTTATTGTAGGCCTGTAATTTTTAGGAATAACTCACTGAAATCTGTCCAAACACCAAAAACTTACTGTAAAAAAAAATAAATTCTTTTATTGATTCAGCATGCCTCTCAGCAAATAGTCTGGGGTGTCTACTTTCCAAAAAGGGGTCGTTTTGGGGGGTGGAGGCATTTTATGACCCAGCATTAGAAGTTTGTCACACATCACTCACTCTTCTAACCACCTGAAGACCAAGCCTTTTCTGACACTTTTTGTACACATGAAACAAAGCAGTATTTTTTGCTAGGAAATTAATTTAAACCCCAAACATTATATATATTTTAAAGCAAAAACACTAGTGAATAAAATGGTGGGTGCTGTAATTTTGTTTTGTCAGATAGTACTCACGCAGGGATTTTTCAAACGCAATTTAAAAAAAAAAATCACTTTTTTTTTTTTTTTACTTTTAATGCACAAAAACACAAAATATTGGCAATTATTTGGTAAAATATAAAAGATGATGGTATGCTGAGTAAATAGATACCAAACATGCATGCTTTAAAACTGTGCATGCCCCGTGCAATGGCGACAAACTGCATATATTTTTAATATCCATAGGCAACGTTTTAAAAGCCTTTACAAGCTACCATTTTAGATTTACAGAGGAGCTCTGGTATTAGAATTACTGCCCTTGATCCGACGTTCGTGGCGATACCTCACATACATGGTGCAACCTCTGTTTCCATACTGGCACAGGGTCAACGCTCACGAATGCAGATGCTGGGGGGTGAGGGTACTTTTTTTCTTTTTTTTTCTAAGTTATTTTGATTTTTTTTTAATTATTTTTACTCTGTCCACTTAATTTTTTTTTTATCACTGTTAATGCTATCACAGGGAATGCAAATAACCCCTATAACTTCAATGGGCATTGTCATATATTCTTTTTTGAGATATCTGGGGTCTATCAGACTCTAGATATCTCCTCTGCCCTTACATTATCTAATCAAACCAAGATCGGTGTGATCAGATGCTTTCCCAATTTACAAATGGCGCTGTTTTTATCCTGTGAAACTGAAGTGATGAAATGCTTGTAGCTTCCGATTTCCTAGGCTATAGAGATGATTGGCACCATTCTGGTCTCCAATCAGCTCTATGGTCAGCTGGCAGAAACACCGCCTGCATTCTCAAGTTGCCCCAATGGCACGGGACAGCCCAAGAAGGCTGTGGAAGGCAGTGGGGGAGGATTGTAAAAGCAATCCTGCAGCTAATTAGCCATTAGGATTGCTTTTTTCATGAAAGCCAATCACCGGCTGAAAAAGCGATACCAGGATGATGCCTGCTGCTGTAGGCATCATCCTGGTATAACCACTCAAAGTCCAGGGATGTACCAGTACCTCGGTTTACGAATTTAATCAGTTCTGCAGGACATTTTCGTATAGCGAAAAATTCGTAAACCGAAACAATGTTTCCGCTCCTCTCCTTCCCCAAGGTAATAGGGGGTAACATTACCTCGGGGAAGGAGAGGAGCGGACGTAAGCAGAGTAATGGGAGAGAACATAGTCTACCCTGGACGTTAGCTGCAGTATCCCACAGGATCCAGAGGAGGGAGTTTTCTACTTCAGGCTGTAAACACCCATCCATCCTACAAAGGTGACCTCTGGCAGAAATATATCCTTACACATCCAGGAGGCATCCGCAGGGTTGCACACCATCAGAGGAAGGAGAATCCATACTCTGCTTACCTCATCCATTCCACCCTAAAAGGGGACTCTGGCTATATATATTACATGCTTATTTAAAATACGCATCTGGTGAGTGCGTATTTTTACCACAACTTATGGCACATCACTGAATACTGGAATAATCAGCAGTTTTGATTAGCACCTTAGCACGAACTGTCACATAAAATATTGTTAAAATATTACAATATTAAAGTCTTTGAGCATATTAGCACCTTTTAATATTGGATTTATTATTGATTTTTAGCGCTGCTAAATATACCGAATATACCGCCCTGCATCCACCCACTTCTAATGGTGGGCACACATTAGGTCACACTTTGCCACATGCGTCAGTTCCAAGATTGTACAAATGTCTAAATAGTGGCATGCTTGAATAAAAATTGTCCATGTATAAGTGTTACCCCATATGGAAAAAGGATGTTTGAATGCAAGGCGGCCAGAAAAATTAATGAGGGACTCATCAATGCAGAATTTTTGCTGGGGAGTATAGACATCTGCAAATTTTTGGTTAAGGTGATTTGTGAGGGGCTGAATTTTGTGGAGCCGGTCAAATTCAGGGTTACCCCAAGGATGACAGAGTGAATTGTCGTTGAAATGCATAAAACACATTTTACTCTCATATCTCATATCTATGCCTGGCCATGGCAGCAGAGAACACGGGCATATGATGAATCGGGCCTGTGGACTAATAGACCCGCAATTAATTTTTTTTTCATGTTGAGGGTTAGGTCCAAAAAAAATTTACATTTGGAAACCTTAATGAGTTTCCATGCGAATGGTCTGGCAGGGTTTGAATTTGGGTTGGCGGCGATAAATTTTTGTGCATATAAAATGCTTTGATCCACAATCAACGCGTACAGATCTTCTGTGAGAAACGGCTCCAAAAAAATCAAGGGGAGTAGTTAAATTTGCCATTTCCACCTGAATTTCGGGTTGGGCAATGAATGAGGGAAGTACAGGTGCTGCAGAATTTGTGGGCTGCCAATCGGGATTTGCAAGCATATCCGGAAGGATACTTGGGGCTCTACAGGCCTGTGTGCGAATTCTTGGTTGTTGCGGGACAATACTTGTGCTCGCCACCACACCAGCTTATACTGCACTTATGGGACTCGCCACGTCGCCAAGGTCATACTGCAGTGCTGGTATTACTATTATACAGGATTTATACAGTGCCAACAGTTTGCTCAGCGCTTTACAATAAAATGGGAGACAAGACAAGAGGGTTAGGAGGGCCCTGCCCCTTGGAGCTTACAATCTAAGAGGTATGTGAAAGACCAGGATGTTCTAGGCCACTAGTACTCGCCAAAAGGTAGCAGTGCACTAATACTGGCACTGCGCTGACAGCTCATGGAGAGAGGAGTGCCAGTAATCAGCATTCCTCAGAGGGGACATCTACATTGATCATCAGGGTACTGATGATAAGTGTAGCCCCATCAGTGCCACCGGTCGGTGCTCATCAATGCCACCTGCCAGTGCCCATCAGTGCACATCAATGCCACATAGCATTGCCCGTCAGTGCCGCCTAACAGTGACAGTCAGTGCCGCATATGAGATGCCTGTCAATGCCCATCAGTGCCACCTACTAGTGCCTCCTCATCAGTGCAGCCTATTGGTGCCCATCACTGCAGCCTCATTGGCGCACATCAGTGATGGAGAAAAATTACTTATTTACAACATTTTATAACAGAAACTAAGAAAAAAAAATATTTTTTTTTCAAAATTTTCAGTTGTTTTTGGTTTATCAAAAAATAAAACACCCCAGAGGTGATTAAATACCACCAAAAGAAAGCTCCATCTGTCTCAAACAAAAAAAAAAAAATTTCATATGAGTACAATGTTGCATGATGGCACAATTATCAGTGCGACAGTGCTGAAAGCTGAAAATTGGCCTGGGCAGGAAGGGGGGTGAAAGTGCCCGGTAGACAAGTGGTTAAGTCCCCCTATATCAGAAATGCTGCTAGAGGGCAGACTCCCTGCGCAAAATCATGTGTGTATATACAGTGAGGAACAGAAGTATTTGAACACCCTGCGATTTTGCAAGTTCTCCCACTTAGAAATCATGGAGGGGTCTGAAATTCACATTGTAGGTGCATTCCCACTCTGAGAGACAGAATTAAAAAAAAAATTCAGGAAATCACATTGTATGATTTTTAAAGAATTTATTTGTCTTGCACTGCTGAACATAAGTATTTGAACACCTGAGAAAATCAGTGTTAATATTTGGTAAAGAAGCCTTTGTTTGCAATTACAGAGGTCAAACGTTTCCTGTAGTTCTTGACCAGGTTTGCACACCCTGCAACAGGGATTTTGGCCCACTCCTCCACACAGCTCTCCTCTAGATCTGTCAGGTTTCGGGACTGTCGCTGAGCACACGGAGTTTCAGCTCCCTCCAAAGATATTCTATTGGATTTAGGTCTTGAGACTGGTTAGGCCACTCCAGAACCTTGATATGCTTCTTACGGAGCCACTCCTTGTATATCCTGGCTTTGTGCTTCGGGTCGTTGTCATGTTGGACGACCCAGCCACGACCCATCTTCAATGCTCTGACTGAGGGAAAGAGGTTGTTGCTCAAAATCTCACAATAAATTGCCCCATTCATCCTCTCCTTAATACAGTGCAGTCGTCCTGTCCCCTTCGCAGAAAAGCACCCCCAAAGCATGATGTTACCACCCCCATGCTTCACAGTAGGGATGGTGTTCTTGGGATGCAACTCATCCTTCTTTTTCCTCCAAACACGACGAGTGAAGTTTAGACCCAAAAAGTTCTGACTTTCTCCCATGCCTCCTCTGGATCATCCAGATGGTCATTGGCAAACTTCAGACTGGCCTGGACATGTGATGACTTGAGCAGGGGAACCTTCCGTGCAGTGCATGATTTGAAACCATGACGGCGTAGTGTTCTACCAACAGTGACCTTTGAAACTGTGGTCCCAGCTCTCCATGTCATTGACCAGCTCCTCCCTTGTAGTTCTGGGCTGATTCCTCACCTTTCTTATCATCAGTGATACCCCATGAGGTGAGATCTTTCATGGAGCCCCAGTCCGAGGGAGACTGACAGTCGTCTTTAGCCTCTTCCATTTTCTAACAATTGCTCCAACAGTTGATCTATTTTCACCAAGCTGCTTGGCAATTGCCCCGTAGCTCTTTTCAGCCTTGTGGAGGTCCACAATTATGTCTCTGGTGTCTTTTGACAGCTCTTTGGTCTTGCCCATGGTAGTAGTTAGCGTCTGACTGACTGGGGTGGACAGGTGTCTTTAAAGAGCTCAGACAGGTGCTAATAAGTTAGATTAATGAGTGGAGTAGAGGTGGACTTTTTAAAGGCACAGTAACAGGTCTTTGAGAGCCAGAATTCTTGCTGTTTCTTAGGTGTTGAAATACTTATGTTCAGCAGTGCAAGACAAATATATTCTTTAAAAATCATACAATGTGATTTCCTGAGCTTTTTTTTTTTTAAATTCTGTCTCTAGTGGGAATGCACCTACAATATGAATTTCAGACCCCTCCATGATTTCTAAGTGGGAGAACTTGCAAAATCGCAGGGTGTTCAAATACTTCTGTTCCTCACTGTATACGTGATTCGTGCTTGCGGGCCAGGGCCGTGCACGTGCCGACCCGCCGATGCCGTGATTCGGGGCCTGACTGACCAGTCATCAGATTCAGGCCAGTGTTGTTTAGCCTGGATCTGATGATCGATACCTGCCCTATCACAGATCTTCCTGTACCTGTGTTTACATTTACACAGGTCCAGGAAATGATGAAATCTTCTCTCTCTGGGCACATTCTGTCCCATAGAAGAAAGCAGATCCACGTGAGTAAAACAGCACACAATTACAGTAAAAACACATTTAGGACACAGTTAACCCCTTCACTGCCTTGTCAGCAGTGTCATTAGTACAGTGTACAGATTTTTTTTTTACTGATCACTGTATTCGTGTCACCAGAGACTTCAGCTAGCATTAACGTCTCTCCCAGATAGCGTCAGATTGCCCGTCACTACACCAGTCAGCACAGTTAACCCCTTGATTGCCAGGAACATGCTCACATACACAAAACTCCATTGCTATTATAGTGTCTAAACGAATCAATATCTTTGATCAGCACTATACCAGTGTTCACATTAGTATAGTTTCCCCAAAAATGCAGCATTAGTGGGATCAGCCCCAGAACCTGCGTTAAGCCCCTGAACCTGCATTTAGCCCAAGTGTAGTGTCATTAGGTCACTGTCACTTGATACATTGCACACAAAACCACAGTCCCTGACAGCCAGATGCTTTTTCCTGTGAGTTGCACTAGGTACCTATAAATTTAGTGGCCAAAATGTCCAACGAAAGGTATTCTAGTGAAGAGGCCTACAGGATTCTGGGTATGTCAGATGAGAGCAAAGGAGAAGCTTCACTGACAGAATCAGGCTCAGAATACGAACCTGTAGATAGCAGCGGCACCCTGACAGCTTAGACAATGGACAAGAGGTTCTTGCTAAGGTCAGGCGTACCCGACCCCTTTCCCAGGTTGCTGAGATGTTACAATTGCATGATGATTCTCATATGCAGCAGAGTGTCAGTACTACTGCCGCTCACCCATTTGGTACACTGACGAGCACGAGAGGCCTAGTACATCCTGGTCTTTCACATAACAGCACTGCAGTATCACTTGGTGATGTGGCTAGTCTCATAAATGCAGTACAAGCTGGTGCCATGGCTAGCACAAGTAGTGTCCCGCAGCCACCAAGAATTCGTACACGGGCCCGTAGAACCCATAGTGTCCTTCCAGATGTGCTTGCAGATTCTGATTGGCAGCCCGCAAATTCCGCAGCAACCGTACTTCCCCCATTCACTGCCGAACCTGGAATTCAGGTGGAAACAGCAAATTTAACTACTCCCCTTGATTTTTTTGGAGCTGTTTTTCACGGAAGATCTGTATGCATTGATTGTAAATCAAAGCAATTTATGTGCACAACAGTTTATTGCCACCAACCCAAATTCAATCCTTGCCATACCATTCGCATGGAAACCTATTGCGGTTTCCGAATTTAAAGTATTTTTTGGCCTAACCCTCAATAAGGGCATTACTAAAAAAATAAATGAATTGCGGTTGTATTGGTCCACAGACCCGATTCATCATATGCCCGTGTTCTCTGCTGCCATGACTAGGCATAGACATGAGAATATAATGTGATTTATGCATTTCAATGACAATACACTGTTGCCCTCGGGGTGACCCTGAATTTGACCGGCTCCACAAAATTTGGTCCCTCGTAAATCACCTTAAACAAAAATTTGCAGATGTCTATACTCCCCAGCAAAAAAATGTTGATGAGTCCCTCATTTAGTTTTTCTGGCTGCCTTGCATTCCAACAGTTTCTCCCCAGCATGCGTGCCAGATATGGGGTCAAGATGTATAAGACTTGTGAGAAGACAACAGGCTATACATATATGTTTCAGATTTACAGGGAAAAGATGGTCACATGGAGCCCGCCGGATGCCCAGACTACATGGGGAGTAGTGGCAAAATAGTTTGGGACTTAGGGGCCATCCATTTTCCATATGGGGTACCACTTATATATGGACAATTTTTATTCAAGCGTGCCACTATTTAGACATTTCTACAATCTTGGAATTGCTGCATGTGACACTGTGCGACCTAAATGCCGCGGCTTCCCCCAACGGCTTGTAAATACCCGTCTTAGAAAGGGTTGTTAGTTTAAAAAAAAAAAAAAACACATTAAAAGTAAAGAAACAAAAATTAAACCTTTTAAAAAACAAAAATAGTTGGGGTTTTTTTTTTTGTCTCATTACTGTTATACAGTTACGGTTTTACTGTTACTGTTTTATTGTTAACCATTGCTGTTTTCTTTGCAGGATTGCCATTCAGCTGCAGCACCGATCTGTTTATTCTTACAGCAGCAATGGCGTATTGCTCTCATAATATAAGTGTGGAGAGCTGTTGGATGAGATATTTCATCCGCAGTTAAAATAGAGCATATATGCCCAAGCATGGGGGCCTGGGGTGGCCAGTGGGTGGATGGCCCCTCTGCGTCGGCATATATTTTTAACTTTTTTTTGGCAGAGATTTCTTCATCCACATTGACTGATGTGAATACAGGAATCTGTTAGGTTCTTTTTTTTTTTTTTTTTTTTTTTTTTTTTTTTTCAACAACAAAAAAAGAACATTTCATGTGTGCCCACCTTTAGAAGTGGGTGGATGCAGGGCGGTATAGTCTATTGGTGGGCATACCACACACTTTTTCGGACAGAGATTTTTTTTTTTCATTCAGCCCACAGGCTGCATTAAAAAAAAAAAAAACAGCATATATACCCAACAAGGACCAACGACGTACTGGT